ATCTGGAGGCTCTGTGGAGACAAACAGAGAGACATGTAGAGCAGTGCTCCTCAAATGAGGATACTCCTAGTAATTTGCAGTAGTGCAGGAAGTACTCCGCCTTTTTACTGTTTTTAACTGTTTTTAAAAAAAAATATTGTATAAGTTTAATAAAAATGTTAATGTAATTCTTCTTTCCAATGCAAACCTCAACTGCCATAAACTGTCAGAAGAGTTTGATCACTGCAGTTGCCTCTCTGCCACAGACAAACCTGACAGACATCCTCAGTAAAGCACAAACTCATCAAAGAGACGCAGTTCAGTACAACTTCAACACCGTCTTAGTGTTGTTGCATGATAAAATTGGCTTGCCGTGATTTAGTGATGCATTCAAAACATTTGAAATTAAGCATTTGTGTTTTTCTGAACCTCTTTATACAAACGTTTTTCTTCTAGTAAGATAAAGGTTGATAACAACAGCTTAGCTTTAGATTAGAAATAATTAAACCATCATAGCAAAAGTATTTAGCTCAACACAAAGTTTACTTACTGTAGACAGTTACAGGCAGCTTGCTACAACACTGGGGAAATTTCGGATTAGATTCATCCATATACTTTTCATAGTAACACAAGAGAGGTATTTCCCATTCAGTCACATTTTCAGCCTGCCATGTAATTCTGGTTTCGTTTGCTGTGTTTTTTCCAATAGATTTTTCCAAACCAAATGCAGTCGTGCATCGCTCACAGACGGTGCACATGGTAGAGGATGGGTCACCAAACATCACCACCAGTCTGGATGGACTGAATACGGGTTTTTCTGCACAGTTTTCATCTGTAAGACAAACATTAATATTGATTTTTTGTGGTGGAGTTTTGTGTGGAATAAGAAATCAAACACACTTATAAAAGCTGTCATTCCACACAATCAGAGCTATTGTTGCCTTAAACTTTGCTTTTGTTTGTTCTCATGTACATATTTTCTTTCAGACTCTGGGGAGTATGAGCACAAATGAACACAAAATAAGTGATTGTACTGATTTAGAGTAATAATCATTTTGTAGTACATACACAACTGTGGATCATACAAAATCTTAATAAATTCTACTTTTACACAATGTAGTTATGTTGCATGTTTTTATTTATTCAAGAAATATGCTAGTTTGTGATCAATTGAACAATAATACTAATTATAATAATACAGATATAACTTGATTTGTCCACATGACAAAGACACAAATACTACACACAGAAGGATAGATGCTTAAAATGAATCACAAAAAGTTAAAACAGTAAAATGTGATTTAAAAAGGCACATTTGAAAAATGTAAAAACATAATAAAACACACAAAAAAATCCCTTCATAATAAAGTACAGTTAGAAAACTCTTCACGTACCACAACTGGACATACAGACGTCAGACAGAAAACCCATCAAAGAAACAACCAGAAGAATAAAATGGAAAAACATTATTCCCAGTTATTCTATGGTGAGAGAAATAAAAAGAATAGTTGAACACAAAACCCAAAGGTGGTCAGAAAGGGAATGAGTCCACTCCTCTTCTTGATTTTCTATTGTAGTCCAACAATGTTGGCAGTGCTGCCTGTTTTCGAACCACACATCCTCTCTGCGTTTGTTCGCAGTCATGTTTTCAAAGCTTGATGAAAGTGAAAGTGAGGCATGGTCTCCAGGGGTGGTCCCACTTTATACACCCCCCTACCCACACCGACCCCCATTTATTTCAAAGAGACTTCACTCTGCTGTACTGACTGCTCTGACTCTTATCTTATTGAAGCCTAATAAGGAAAGAAAAATAACTCTAAAATAGATCAGTTTTTATTTAATTTAAATACATTTAAATTGTAGCCCTGGATTTGATTCAAAGCAAACACTGGCACTAGATAGATAGATTTTGGCATGTTTTTCTGGGTTGGGGGAAGTGACTGTTAGATGCCACTAAATCCTACACACTGTAATTACAGTTGTTAAAAAGTGGTTTGTTGTTTTGCAACTGCTACCACGGCCCTTTATACAAACTAGATGTTACAAATCAGGGAGAACAACTTGAAGCAAATCCAACAAAAGCCTGACACACACACACACACACACACACACAAGCATAAGCACAAGCCTGAGGAATACAAGACAAAAGTCAAATTAGAGAAATCTATATTGTAATGCTTCAATCCAATATTTAAAGTCAAATAAAGAGTGCACACTTCATTCTAAATATCCTTCAGTGTAACTATGTCTTTTATATGACTTTATCACAAGCAAAACTCCATTCACCTCCATTACAGCCTATCAGTGCTGGTGAATTTGGGTTTAGGTTTTTCCTGCTTGCATTAAATTCAACTTTGGAAACAAACATATAAACTATGCATTACTATCATACGATCGTGTATCTGTACTTGTAAACCCCCATGCCATTGATCTAAGGAAATGCACGGATGCATGCCCACAGATGACAGGTTTGGAGATAGCACAGAAGGAATTTGCCCCACCCTCCCGCTTTTGCCACTCTGTGTAATCGTGTAAGCTTCTGACCACCACTGACACTGACACACTGTTACCACACACCAGAATTATTATGGTTTTATCATTTGTTTATATTTCTGCTGCTGTTTTTATTATGATTTTTGCTTTTATAGTTGAGTTTTTATTAGATTCAGGGTTAGTTTTTACTCTTATTATTATATGGGGGGTATTTGTCAGAGGCAAGATTAAAGAAGTTCAGAATAGGTACAAACACATTGAACTACAGTCTCTATGCAACAACGCCTCTTCATGCTTGTTGTGTTTCCACTAAAGACATTTCCTGTATTTTTTATTTTATTTTAGTTAAAAGTAAGTACACAATATCGTTTCAATTCATCTTTCAATTCAGTGTAGTTTTAATTTGTTTATTTCACTTAACTAAAACTATGTTTCACTTTTAATTTAGTTTTATTTAACTCTAATAACCACCACACATACATTCAGACTCAATAATCTGCAGTCATAATATCTGTTGGTCTAGGTGGTCCACATAAGAGAAACAAAACTGAACATTTTGTCGAGGAAGGGATGGAAACGGATCTGAGTGCAGAGCTGTAGGTAATTGTTCCTCAACTTCCCGGGGATTTATATCTTTCCTGTGACCCCTCCCATGATTGGACGCATTCGAATACCACATACAAGTCTGTCTGTTACCTTTTTTTCCTAACCATATTACGTCCCTTCTCTCTCTCAAGTTTATAAGCAAAAGCAGGCAGAACGCCATATCACAGGAACAATCTCTGAGAAATTTTAATGACGCTGAAAGAGCAGCAACACAATCAGAAATGACAGAGATGTCATACAGAGTCTGACTTCAACTGATTTTAAAAGTGTTCAGGGAGTTGTAGGATATTGTATGTCAGTGATTACAAAACCATCTGAACCAATACATCCTCAGTTGCCCATTAGGGAAATCACCATATAAAAGTGGACTCAAGCCACACAATGTAAACTTTTTCTTTGGCCGAGCTTGTCCTACTCCTTTTACTCCTACTTTCTTTTACCTTTAAAAAACATCCTTTGGCAATACAAATGGATATATAATGCAATGAGAGAGAAAAAAGGTAAATTTTCAAACCCTTGAATTAATAATCAAACAGGGGTAAGAAAGTATTTTGTACCAGAAATATAGTATATTTTTCCCCATTTAGATTTGACTCATAGTCTATTTATTTCCATTTTCAAAGAGTATCTACAAGAAAGAGATGCAGCTATATACAACCAGAGAGGGAACAGTAAAGCGAGAAATATAAAAACAAAAAAGCTTGAAGCAGTTTGGCTTCACCCTGTTGCATTCATGTTACAGTAAGATATTTGGCTCTTCGAGAAAATACACTACACTATATACTGTATATATAAGTAATTATTGATATTCCTTTAATTATTATTAATCCAATATCTTAAAAGGTCTCAGAGGTTTAACACATTCTACCCATTCCAATCTCTTAATCTTAAGTGCACATACAGACAGGTGAGAAATTTAAAGGAAACAGGCACTTGTTCCCAGCACGAGGAAATCCATATCACCCCCTAAATCTTAAAGTTAAACAATCGACCTGAGACGGCTTTCCAGCATTCGTTTCCTCAGGAAAGCAGAGCAGTGTGATACCCTGTTAAGTGGAGAAAAGTTTGTTCTTGTTCTTGTTGTTTTTTAACAAAATATTACTACTAAACATACCCATTTATCTCATTTATCTGTGAGACAAAGATAAGTCAAGAATGTAATGTAATGCATTTTTATTAATAATCTTACAAAACAACAACACAAAACTACATTTAATTTTAAAACAAAAAAAATCCACAAAGAAAGAAATGTACAAAGAAATCCTGTTCTGTAAAACCAGAAGTAAAGTCTGTCAAAGAACCTGACATGAAACTTTGTAAAAGTTTATCACAGCAGTCTGATAGGTGCTCAACTTAAAGGCCTGAACTTCAAAAGCTTTGTAATGTTAAGGCAGGTATGGCCAAGTGCAGGCCATGATCACTTCTATGGTAGACAATAGTTCCAGTGGCGCTCGTTGGGTAACACCTGACTGATCCGCAGGCAGCAGCTGATGGTGGGCTCGTAAAACACTTCGTCTGGCTTCTCAATTTTAATTTTTGTCTCACTTCTTGTCTGATTCACGGGGCGGGCGAACAGCGAGCTCTTAGGTGCTTTAACCAGAGTTCTCTTCGTCACGCAGCCCATTTCTATGAGCACCTGTGGAAGAGACGAGGAGGGTAAAATATCCACAGATAACGTTAAAAGCTTACTTTTAGTGTTTCTAATGTATTGTGAATCGTTAAAGAAGATGTAAATCACTTAAAAAGGTCCAGTGTGTAACATTTAGGAGGATCTATTGGTAGAAATGAAATATATTATTCAAAGGTATGTTTTCATTAGTGTATAATCACCTGAAAATGAAAGAATTGTTGTGTTTGCGTCTCTCTACAGAGAGAGCGAGTTCCATGTTGAACCGCCATGTTTCGACAGTAACCCAGAATGGACAAACCAAACACAGGCTCTAGATGTTTCTCCTACATGCATGAAAGGCTGAGGCGTATACACTTAATCCTACATACTGGTCCTGACTGTTACTGGAGACAAGTTTATTGGCTGATGTGAGATGACCTAACGTCCCAGCTGCCTGCAGGCCTGAATCAGAAGGAGAGTAATCATGTGAGTGTATGGAGGTGGGAGTATTTCTGTTTACCTGCACCAGGTCCAGCACGGCCACTGCCTGCAGCACATCTTTGTAATGTTCCACCAGTGCCTGCTGTGTGAGTCCGGGTCGGTACATGATGTGATAAAGAATGGCCTCCAGCATGCCCTTACACACCTGCCGGTTCAGACTGCTGTCAACCATGCGCCACGGACGGCTGATGAAACTCACATTTCCACTGTGTGGGATTAGAGGTTGGTGATGGAAAGAGAAAGAATAAGGAGATGACAAACAGGAAAAGGTAAAATGTTCTCAACTCAATCTCTCACAGTCTGAACTTACTCATCATCAACACCAGCTGATTCTGTTGGAGGAGAGCAGGCTTCTTCATCTCTTTCATCATCTATACTGTCCTCTCTGGCTCCAAGTTCCTTCTTTCTTTCCTGTTTTTCCACAGTTTCCACCTTCTTCTGTCCTGGCTGTCCTTCTCCTTCCTCTTCAGGCTGCATCTGCTTTCCTTCCTCCTCGTCCAAGTTCAACAATTTGTCTCCGCTTCCCTCATCTGTTCCCTCTTTCTGCTTTTTCAGCAGTTCTTCCTCATTCAGTTTCTCTCCTGACAACCTCTTTACGGACTTTTGTTTGTCCACAGCTGATTTTTTAACCGGCGGTTCCTCTGGCTCCTGAGGGACTCCTCGCCTGGCTCTCTTGCGCATGACAGGGATGTTGTGTCGATTTTCCAACCAGGGGGGTTTGTCAGGTGTGAAACGTGACTGGGAGCGTGACTTGGACTTCACAGTCAGCAGCCACGGTTCAGCATGCTGTACGAGCACCCAACGGACGCCTAAACTCCCAACTTGTAACACCTGACCTTCTTCTTGTAAGTCCTGGAGCAAAAAGGGGGAAAATCCGATCAGAAACACACAGGAAGAGGAAACCAGGAAACTGATCATTTGCTAAACCTCCCCAAACAGCAATAGTACAATCATAGATTGGTGACTGTAACTAGGCAGGTTAGGTCTTATTGGCTTTAGATTTCTCTATTAATTGTTATTTATAGTGATCTTAGTTTGGCATTGATCAACTTTGAAGACTTTATTATCTTCAAAACAAAAGAAAAGAAAAACAACTTAGAGGGGATTCCTTAAGACAAAACCCTCTTAAATTGGGGGTCCATTGTCCAATGTGCATTAGTTGTGGGGTCCTTGTCAAGCAAAGGTTTGTCAGCGGCTTTATTTTGTATTTACTGTACACTTTACATGCTGTTTATGCTTAAGTTATATATTTCTATTGCATAATAACACAATACCTCCATATACTGCTGCAGGCTCCTGGTGCGTCCGGACTGCGGCTCCTCCAGGTGGATATGAGTCTCGAAGAGGTCATGTATATCCAAGCCATTCTCACCCGCTGCATCTAAGCTCTTCCTGAGTTGAACACATGCTTCTATGTCCTGAGGCGTGTATCCTCTTTGCTGAATCAAACGACTGTCACACTCATTGGATGGAGAAGAGCCAGAGGAACGGATGGAGTAGGTGAGGCTGGGGGGCAGCAGGGACGGACCACACTTAGTCCAGTCCAATGGTGGAGAGGCTAAAAAAAAGAGAAAAGGAACATTTGAAGGTGAAGCGGTGTGTGTGTATATTTCTGATATACTCTTGTGTGTATATTTCTTACATGCGCTGATACTTACTCTCCACAGTGAACGCATGGTGAGCAGGTGTGTCGCGCAGTTGCAACTTCATAATACACGACTCCAACACAATGTTATCACCGGTGTTGAGGTTACGTAGTTTGACTAGAAACAAAAACAAAATAACAAATCTGAAATAGAAAGCCGCAAAACACACAATCTATTATTAACAAATTATTGTTCCCCAATTACATATTGATCTATCTTATAATTTGCTTCTAAACGAATAAGATGAATAGTGCAACATTAAACTGATCTGTTGATAAATGACTGAAACAATTAATCAATTGTCAGAACTCTAGTTCTTGACAATCAAGGGCTTCTTTTTTAAATTTATGGTTTTGTTTGTATTTAAGTTAAGTTACAATTTTTGGGTTTCATATGACTTTTATTTGACTTTTGTGTCATGCAGACAAAGTGCCCAATCCTCAGTTTACAGGACATACGTAACATAAGTTTTACATTATCTATCGTCATTTGATATGAATGTAAAGTGTACTGAGACACTTAAAGTTAACAGACTTACAAAGAAATAAAGATTACCTTGTTTAATTATTATTTTTTACTCTTTCCAATGCAAGGTGATTCAAACTATGTAGCTGAAAACGAACAAGCGAGGCAACCTTACACAACTTTATCGAAAGTAAGTTAAAAAAACTAAAATCTAACTCTACCTATACCCGGAGAGCAGTATCCCCGCATCATCAGGTAGTTGGTGTGTGACGCTTGATGTGCCTTCACTTCCAGTCTTTTTTTCCCCTCACACTCGTCACCGTCTTCATCATCATCCTCCTCCTCTTCCAGTGCTGCCATACTGAAAAGCCACAGTTTAGATAAATGGCAGTGAACACTTCAAGAGAAGTTAGGCCTCAAAACAAATTTTGTATTGTATGTAAACATCATATTCTGGTTTCAGAAACCTGGGGAGTATTTCAAAAAGCTGGCTAACTGAGTGAGCCTGACTTCTGGACTTGAATAAAACCTGGAACCTCTTCAAGTCCGGAACATTGAATAAAGTAAAAATAGCTGTTCTGGGTTAAATACCCACTATTCTGTTGAAGTACTCAACAACCAGGATACTGTTGCGTGTAAACCACTTATTCAGGTTTCTAAACATTATTTGTTGGTACAGAACATCGAGACTGAGATGGAGAGAAATCGAGACACTTCTGCAGTCAGATGATTATAAACCTGGATACTGTTATGATCATGTATGTATGGTAGGGATGTACCGACACACTCAACTCACAGTTTGATACAAATCAAGATACTGGGTTCATAATATGATGTGTTTTTCATCTCACCATATTAAATATTCACATAGCTGTATCACAGTTTAACTGTCTTGCTTTATATCTTTACAGTCACAATGCATGGATATGAATAACAAGGTTTTTCATGCGCTGTGTAAATGCAAAGTCCCGTAAATAATCAATCATCAGGATAAGACTCAAAACATGTAAAGAAATGCAGCAGCTATTTGTATTTCTAAGCCACACTTTTATGTTATTTTCTTGCACAAAAGTTCAATTTGATGGGCTGCAAATCCTAAAATCTATATTTTACCATTACCTAATTTGGTTAGTAAAGTTAAGAACAGCAGTGTTCTCGTTATGTTGTTCATCCTGAACTGTGCTGCAAATTCCCTGGCAGCCATTTGAAGTTTCGTACAGGAAATTGTCCCTCAATCAAAAATGCTGTTGACTCAAACCATGTTTAATTGCGATATACTGTTTATACTTCAGAAGGATTTCAGATAAACAACGTATGATAATAACAGCAGTAAATGGGTCACACAAATGGGTGAGGTCAGTTTACTCAAATTACAAGGAAGTAGTTATGAAATCTTAAAAAGAAAATGAAAATCACTCTGGATATTCTCCCCTAGACCAGGGTTTTCCTGTTAATCAATAGTATAGACATAAAATGTTATAAAATAACTAAATCTTATCAGACAGGGATCCCTAAAACTACATCGTATCGGCCTGGTGTGTATCAATCCGGGGGTCAACATCAAGGTTGAGAACCACTGCCTTAGACTTTGAATACAATAACATGCAGTGATGCTTGTACAGGGGTTATAACTTACCTCTTGACTACATCATTGTCCACCAGGTTGCTGTCCACCACAACGATCGGTTTAGGTATGGAAATGTACACATTCAGCAGTCCCAGAGTCATCAGGCTGAGAGAGACCACACAGGCTCCACCTGGAGAGTCCATAGAAAACCGCATCATGTCCGACACATCTGGAGGCTCTTCTGAAGCTTGAGGTGCTGAGTTCGAGGTAGAAGCTTTGGGCAGATGATCGTCTGTCTGCTCTCTGCCAGATGGATCTTCACCAGGACCAACTGTGAAGGAATCTTCTGTGTTTTTCTGTTCACTTTCTGTTCTTTGTTCTTCCTCCACTTTCTTTTGGTTGTTCTCTTCTTTATTTGCTGAGTCATCGTTTGCATTCTCTGGTTGTACCTCCGGTTCACTCACTGGTTTCCCGCCTGCCTTCCGTTCACTTTGTTTTCTTTTTATTTCTGACTCTGCTCTTCTCTCCACCCCCTCCTCCTCGTTCTCGGACCTGTTCTTGGTTTCATGGTAGAATAGAGTGACAGGTCTGTCGTCTCCCATCCCGTTATTAATTAGACTCCTCATGAACCGGAAGGAATCGGTGCACAGCGAGTGAGGAAAGCGCCACGAAAAACACCTGTCAGGGGAGGTGGAAGAGGGAGAGGCGTGAAAAATGAACGCTTTGCACAAAACAGTAAATGATGACAACAGAAGACTTTTTTGACCAAATATTTCCAAGAGCTAAACTCTGGAATGACATCTAAAGCTGGTGGGTGAGTGTGCCTCGCTAGATTCAGCAAACGCTCCTAACTTCAGATTTCTGTGTAAATCACCTGCGTAAAAATAAATAAAAAAAGTAATGCCACCTGTGTATAATGGCTTTCATGAGAATTGAAACTTTAAAACAAATGCCCAAATAATACCATATGAGGCTACACGGTGTGAGAATTCAGAAGAAGTAGAAGTTCTGGTCTCAGACATCTAAAAAGGAAAGTCTATCATTTTCTAAAAACTTTAAATTTGAAACGGATACAGGAAGCGTTGGCTTTGGGAGCAGATTAGAAAAATAAATAAACACTGCTGCCACTATTTGAGGAAATCCCAGTATTTTCCCCTCGGGTGGCTGTGTACCTGTAGTAGGACTGGGACAGCTGGTAGGACATGGGCAGGATGGGCAGCGCTCGGTTCTTCTTCGGCCCAAATGGCTGATTGACACGGCGGCGGTTGACCAGACCACTCTTCCTGCATCGTATGAACGCTCGACACAGCAGCTCCTGGTCATACTTACTGTACATGTGGAAGGCCTAAGACAGAAGACAGTTGAATAAGCAGATGTTTTGGGTAAAAACCAGGACAAATGGACTAAATTTTAGAGTTGCCTTTGCTTAACTTTTTACTTATTTCTATTTTATGGTGTTTTCACTTTTCTTAAGTGTATATTTTTGTGTATATTTTGCTTTATTTGTTTTTATTGTGAAGTACTTTGTGATGTTCTGCTCCTGAAAGGTGCCATATAAATGTGAACAGAGGAAGAAAATTAAAGAAGGCCACACCTGAAAGGATCTGGAGGACTTCATCTGGCTGTTGTTCATGGCCAAAGTGCTCTGGATCAGGTTATGTAACACTATGGCATGAATGTCATCTGTGCTGCAATGCAAACACACACAAATTACAATTAACTGATACCATAAAACCCCAAATTTAATCAGTGGAGGAAAATCTAAAAATGAATCCTTACCAGGTGAGAACATCTTTGCATGGCATATGCTTTCCACAGGCTATTGCTGAAACCCTAAACCTGTAACACACATAAAGCATTACATTACAAACTACACTCAACTCCCAGCCGTCACTGCTTGTCTAAAGTCCGAACCTCCTCCTCTTCTTACCGTGAGAAGAGCTCATGTTTTGTGTCAGGCACGTTCGTATCACACGGGCTCTGAGCGGTGCTGAACTTCTGTCTGAGCAGCCTCACATACTCCGAGAACACTTTACCACAATCCTAAAACAACACAGGCATAAATATAACTTCAGACTTTCAAGAACAAAAATCGGGCAACGATAACATCAAAAAATCAAAAAAACACACCTCTGGATTGTTTGGGTCAGCCGGTTTTTTCTCCTCCAACAATCTCATCAGAGTTTTATCCTGGTACACCTCAGCCAGACAGATCCTGCGACACATTGCTGATGAATAAAACTGAATGTTTTTGTTTATAAATGTGCATGTTTATATTATTATTACCAACCTGTAGTTCAGAAGCGTCTGAGGATTTTTTAAGATGTATTTTGTGCGACGCCCGACAGCGACAGATGTTTTATCCACCGATATCTCAAACTCTGCGTGGAGCAGGTCTCTTACCACACAGTGAGGTACAAATGGCCTTTTTAACTGCAACACATTACCAATATGCTTTGTGCTTTGATCTTGAAACAACTAACAAAACAAGTGAGAACAAACTTGACTTGACACAAAAAATATAATTATCATCAGAATCATTATCAAAAACAGGTTTTGTTTTATGTAAACATTTTATTAAGTGTTCTATGTCAAAACATCTATAATAATATAACTGTTTATGTCACAATTTAGCCTTTATTACATAGTATGCAGTATATGAGTAGACAGGAAAGGAGGGATAGGAAGAAAGTGGTTGACAAACAAAGGGTTCCTGTCTAAACAGCAACCAAAGACCAAAGATGTTGTGATTACATGGCCAGCAGTGTCTTAAACCTCAATAGGTTTCTGGGCGTCCAATATTTCACAATAAAACCCTGCAAAGATCTGAAAAACGGCCAGAAAATCAACATAATTTTGAGTAGCAGGAAACCCCTGCATTAGACGATTTAAATAATAATTAATGAGTCATTTTACCTCTAAAAATTGTTCAAATAACACTTTGGTTTAATTGGCCAGTCAACATAGGCGACTAAATGATGAGGGGGATGCAGGAGGAGGAATTGCTTTGTTTTAAAGGGTCACAAACTAAAAACCATAGCTGGGAACCACAGTTTTAACACTAGTTTGTGTGGGTGTGTGTGTGTGTGTGTGTGTACCTTGCTGTTGAGCAGGTGTAAGGCCACACTGCAGAGCATCATCAGTGAGTCCTCCTGTACAGACCAGTAGACCCTCTGTCTGGTCATCATCTTCAAAGCCTGGTGGTCCGCCTCGTCATGGGCAGGTGTCCGTTTCTTGGGCTCTTTAAGGCAAATAAGAAAACACACACAACCAGTCAGCTGTCTGACTTTAGTCCATTATTGACATGTATTCATTTTTTATGCTCACACTATACCTTTCTTCTTCTTTCGTGGCGCCTTCACAACCTCCTTTTTGGTTCTCTTCCTCTTTTGTCTCTTTCCTCCGACCACCAGCTGGTTTCTGGACGCAGGCTCTATGTTCACCTGGATACAAATTGGTTTTAGCAAGGTAAACCTAATAAACTGACAACTAAGAGTATGTAAAGATAGTAAAACAATAACACAATGAAACAGACAGAACTCATACCTCAACATTTTCTGCGATTAGTGGTCGCTTGGCAGTCACATAACGAGGTTTAGTAGTTCCTCCTACAGACATAAAAGTATATTACTGAAGAGCAGGAACACCGTCACGGTTTGACAGTTAGCATTAAAAACAGGTTTGTAGGTTAATTTTGAAGGACCTCAACACAAAACACAAAAATCTCAAAACGGAGCAGCACAATGTCAACGTCACTCACATATTATACACAAATCTTTTCAGCTGTTATAGAGATTATTAATGCTGAACTAAATCAACTAAAAGCTTTGTCATGATTGGAAAGTGTTTTAGAACAAACATTCATTATGTTCCAAGCAGCAACTCACCAGCTTTAAGTGCAATCCTGAGAGCATTTTTACTCAGCAGGCTCTTCAGTCTGATTTTGTTCTCCTTCGCCTCTAAACCACTTGGGGTCTAAAAACAAAAACAAGAGACACGTGCTCAAAATACCAAAAGCCACATTTAAAACTGTCTATGCACTACATGCACATACATGTACACTTACTGTTTTGACAGAGAGTAGGTGATTGGTCCACAACCAGTTTCGTTTAAGATGAGCGAAGAACTCAGAGTCCAGACCTCCTGCTCCTTTACCGTCTCCTGGTATTAACCCCTCGTCACACACTTCACGACTGCCCCTGTGTGTGAGCGCACAGATACATACATCAGTGCTACTTTAACACACAGGTTTTTCTGTGAATTTAAACTCTGATAAAAGTTGGATTGTTAGTGAGGGAAAGCACTAAAACGCGTTAAGCAAGTACAACACTGGCAGTAGTAAAACCAGCATCAACGTTCCCATTAGGAGTGATATTCACTCGTGAGTGAAGGTTAATTGTGATAAAATCCTCTTGCTACAAATGTAAGGGTTTATTAAAAGGCTCATGGCCCAGGAAAATACACATTTTTCTTCATGTGTCTCCATGTAGTGTGGATACGCCTGCTTTATTTTACTCTTTGTTGACACTGAAAAGAATTGGTTTTAGAATACGACTGTTGGTTCATTTCTAATCTGCTGCTCCAAAATTAACCGTCCAGACCTCTCAGATGGTCTGTGATCAGGTCTGTTAACTGTCCCCAGATTCAAAACTGATTTTGATGAACGACATATCTGGAACAAATCTCCAACTCTCTACTGTTGATTTGTGTGACTCTTTTTTTCGCCTTTTTTATCTTTCTCCTGTTTTACTCTTTTTAAAATCCTATTTATGTTTATCTTTTCATATTTATATTTCCTTGTGTTTCTTTTATGTCTTCTCTGAAAATGTTTCTGTCTTATGTAAAGCACCTTTCCTTGGTGCTATACATATAAACCTGCCTATTATTACAGAGAAATCACACTCCATGTACCTGAGCAGGTATGCCAGTCCTACGAACACGCTGCGTTCATGGACAAAAGAAGGAGCAGCTTCCTCCTCTGTGACATTTCTCTTATTACGGATGACCCCTAGAAAGATGCAAACAAAGAGAAAATTATAATTTGCCATATGCCAGTGCTGTGAGTGATTAGGCTTTTATGTGTGAGTGTGTGTGTGTGTGTGTGTGTGTGTGTGTGTGTGTGCATGTACCCAGCGGTGTATTCAGGCAGACACACATCAGGTCAAACCAGTAGTTTTCTACATCTTCGGGAGTGTTGAATGTGTACTGGCGCTTCTCAAACGGTTTGTCAGGTGACTCTGTGACCAGCCAGTAGTGCGGCTCAGAGCTGGTGGTGTCAACAATGGTGGCATTGCGCTTCAGGTACAAAAACACCTGGATCAGTGCAGATATGGAGAAAAAATTAAACATGTTTGAAAAGAGAATTTATACGATGTGACATAAATTCGGTGTTTGTACAGCAAACTTTAAAGCAATGATTACGGTGTACCTGGTCTTTCTCCTTGAACTTCTCCACAGGACCAAACTGCAGCAGACCCATGTAGACCAACTTCTGCAGGTTCTCATGAAATGAGAAGATGTATCTCCTGATGTAAAGAGCCCATAAATACTCAATTTAGAATTACAATTATAATGAGTTACAGAAAGAGCAAGAAAGAAACAAAGAAAGTCACCGTTTATAAAGCAGCTGTCTCTTCATTCTGGCAGGCAGCGTTCTGATAAGATAGTGTTGCTTCACAGGGTCGTTGAGATATTCCTCCAGTCCATCCACCTGTGGACACAAGGCAGCAAATGTGTTTGAATGTAGTGCATTTGCTCTGTCTTTCCTGTGGGCCATGAACAATATTTCATAAATGTCCACAGGTACATCTCACGATCCACAAAGGAATCGACATTCAGTTTCCAGTTTATTAGGTACACCCAATATTTTGTCCAGCCCATTTATATCATTGAGGGTTAAACTAGATATTAGAATCAACTCAGTAATCAATACAGTATCCCAGCACCAAAAATTAAAACCTCCAAAAAGACTTTTTTATCCTCCAAAGAAATAAATTGGCCTGAAGGTTGACTATGACATTTAAATTTTCAGTGATAGAAACTCTTTAGTTACAGGGAATTTACTGTAAGGATAAAGAGTACATCTGCTCCTATTTTAAAAAGGACAGATGATTACTTATAACCACTACCGTATCTTACACTCTCACCTTATAATTGATCTGTATGACCTGAATGAAGACAGAGAGAGGCAGGCAGAGGAGCAGATCACCAACCATCGCCCAGCCACTGCCGAACTCCTTTTGTACACGGACAGGAGGCATGAATCTCTTCCATGACTCTTCGTCAACATACACTATCAGAGACAGGCAGAAGATAACAGACAAATCATCATGATTAGTGGAAAAAAACCTCTTTCTCGTCTCAATAATTAAAATAACTACAATATGTCTACCAACATTTCGTAGTAAGTCACAATATGCAGTGATAAATAACAGTATGTATGTAAATCCTGCACTGACTAAAGTCATTAAGAAACATAAATGGAGGACTCATTCAAAAGAGACACAAATGTTTTACGACAGGAGAGTTCCTACCCGTGATTCTCTCTCACCTTTCATGTCAGACTGAGAGTGGCCATGTGCTGTTTTATCTTTCAGCTCTTCCTCATCATCGCCGGATGATGTGACATCCAAGTTTGACAAATTGGAATCTGCAGTTTCCTGTTTTTCCTCGTTTTCTGGAGGTTTGGCATCAGGATCAGAGCTGTTGGGGTTTGCTGGTGCTTGAGAGGTTGAGCGGGAGCCATTGGAGTTGTGTCTTTCTGGGTGACCGTAAATCAGGTACCAGAGGAAGTTATGAATGGCACGCAAACGATGCATCTTAGGTTGGAAGCCAAAAGTCTTCCCCAACCCCCGAACTATGAAAACAGAGACAAGGGGACAAAGATTTAGAGAAGAAATATATATAATCTTGAGGATATCACTACAGTGCATATACGGTGAAAAAGACACTTAAATGGAGCAGCAAAGTGCTAAGAAGTTGCAGGACTCTTGATGTTTCTTGAATACCACACCAGATACCTACTGTGCTAAAGATAGATTAAAGCTGCAATATTCAACATTCCTGCATTAAAATATCCGTACACACTAGAAATAAGTTATATATATGTTACTGATTATCCCAAATGTTTCCAACAATGTTCAAACCCAAAGAAATCTGCAATTTTATTCAGATTGCGTTTCACCAGTCACCCGTCATAGGGTCATATCCTTTTTGGGCGTGCGTCAGTATTGACGATGACAAGCTGAGTGCAAATATTGCAATGGTGATGAAGAAGTCCCATGATCCCATTGTACTCTATGACATCATCAAAGTTTGTTTATTAAACTGTGTTATTGTTTTGATGTGTGAGACCCCTGGCGGCTGAACTTGCATATCGTATGTTTAAATAAATGGTTTACTTGGTCAGTTTGGTATCAAGCTGGACATACATGGCCTCCCCAAAGTGGTCACTCTGAAGCTTTTTGTACATTCCTTGGCTTATTGTTTATCATTTGTATGCAATAGCTGACATTGGTTATTTTGAAGAGAGAGAGACACAAATTCTCACTACTTGAGTACAATTCTTTTTTCTGCTGTCAAACCAAACCTGTTGTGGGCTTGAACTCGTCCTCATCTCCCTTTCTGTCATCTTTGCCCTTCAGGGAAGTGCTGCCAGTCAACTCCTCATTCTCTCTGGCTTTCTCTTCAGCGTGCTGCAGACTGAGTGGCAGAGGAAGATCAACAGATTAAAAGTCAGGTTTGAGTAGGCACATCATTTAAATTAGACAAAATTATAAAGTCCAAGGAGACAGACAGAGGGAGAGAAGAGAAAATATAAGAACAAAACTTGACACAAAATTGGGGTGACCACCGAGCTGCTACTCAGACATCCACTCCATATCTCAGTGAATTATTTGGTTCGTGCTCACCGTAAAGCTGAGTAAGAGCTGGAGATTCTGAAGCGGATCTGTTCAATGAGTCGGTTCACTATGTCATCGTTGGGTTGAATGGACGGATGAACGACCATTTCAACCTGAACGTAGAAAAACATCAGACCGAAAGAGGTGGTTAGTGGTGGGCAAATATTAACAATTAACAAATATACTATCTCTTTTCTAGTCTAGGCTCCGTTTTTGTTAATTCGCCATGTTAGTAATTTTCATGAGTCATAAAAATGTCAAAAAAACAAGACAACAGGGCAGAAAGTGGTTTAATAAGACCTGTATAAGCAACTGCTTGAAAATGTTTCTTACTCTTATCCCTTTTCTTAGTTTCCTTTTTAATACACACAAAACCACACACACACACACACACTAGGGGGACAATGAAAGGATAGCAGTTAAATGAATTAAATACATTTTAAAATAGACCTGGCCTCAGCTGGGTCCTGAGGGGCCCTTTATCATTTGTGGTTAGTAGTTTTATTTTAACACAAGCAGTGGATGCAATGAGGCTTGTAAGTATAACTAACAATCAAGGTGTGTATTTACCTTCTTGGTGATGCCATCCTGTATGACAGTGGTCTTGTAAATCCTAAGCAAACCTTCTCTAGACAGTCCGTGGACGAGACGTAGAATAGTCTTCCTGCAACACTTTGAGCTGAGTCCATCCTGCTTCTCTTCCTCATTGATCATCTTCTGTAGCCTGGAGAAAGACAGCATGTTGACATGTTTTTCTCTCTCTTACTGTGGGGTAAAATGCTTTGAAATTAATGGGAAACATTTAAGAAAAACTGACGGGAAAAGACCCTCTATGATTTTGAAGCTGCGGACAGCCTCAACGATCAGGTTCTTCCTCCTCAACAGGCGGTATGTTTCATGAGACCTCTCCAAAGACTTTTTGTATTTAACATGTCCACGGCCCTGAAAGAAGTAGATGTTATATTCAGCACTCATCTCAAACAGCTGGAACAACACAGTGAACAAGAAAACCCACTAAACCCACCCATCAGACTGACCTTTGTCTCAAAAACATCTTTAACAACCACAACGTTGTTGCCTGCTGGGTTACCGACAGCATCCACCACCTCACTCTGAGGCAAAGGGCTGGCAGGACTTGAGCTGGATTCTTCCTCCTCCTCATCTTGAGCTTGTTCTGATAGAACAGACAGTCTGAATTCAATATGATTAAACACAACAACGGAAAACATATAATATACAGTATATGTGTCATGGAAAAGGAGTTTGATTCTGAAGAAATCACAATATCAAACACTGTGTGTGGGAGTGATTATGTGGATTAATATTAATACTTGAGAGAAAAAAACATCAACATCTCAATATCCATATGCAACTGTATTTAGTAACGTCATCAAATAATGCTTATCCCATTTTAAAAAAGCGGTTTAGGGTTTTAATAGCAAAATAAATTAAGTCTTTACAGTCTCATACTGTGGCAGATTTTGGTGCACTTTCACTTGTCACTCATATTGACAAACCCACAGATAATTTAAAAACACCACTCTGCAGATCCTCTCGGCTCAACGGATTGTTTTAGCGTCTTTCAGCTAATTGTTTTGGTTTTACAGCCACCAACTTTACGGTTTTGGTTCAGTCTCAGCACTGTAACCAGTGTTGTTTTTGGCCACAGCAGGTAGCTATGTTTGGCAGAAAAGCTCTAAAAATTCACTGCACGCTACCTGCTCGACACCAAACTGCAGACAGACACTAGCTGGTGACTATCAGTTGCTCTGATTCTGCTGGATGTGAAAATAAGCATCTGTTGTGAGCCATATCGACTCAAGAGGTGCTGATATGTGGGACAATGTTGTGTTTACAAATTATTTCCAAAGCCCACAAGTTTCCTTCAAAGCTTGACTGTTGCTGAAATGTAGCTGCAATGTAGTCGTTTAGGCCAATTTCTGAAAACTACCTGCTTCTGGAATGGACACTGAGTCAGGCATTGTACTGGTGATGGATTTGGTGCAAGCTGGAGTTTCACCTGAGTGATGACATAAAAGAAATTAGAAAAGTGGGACAACATTAAGAGCTGAAACTGTCCATTAAACTCAACTCATTTTGTTATGAAATGTACAAAGGTTTCACAAGTACTCACATTCATCTGGTGTAGGTTGTACAATTGGGATCTCAGGTTGGGTAGTTTTCCCACTGCTTTTCTTTCCTGCTGTCTTTCTTTTTGCTCCTGATTTCCGTCTTCCTTTACCCGCCTCTTCATCCAAGCCTTCATATGCTGTATCCACTTCTCTATCACCGCACTTCTGCCCGGCTTCCTCTGCATCTTCGTTTCCTCCTCCAGCAGCTTTCTGAATCTTCTTCGCAGCGGGAGTTTTGGGCTTTTCTTTTGCTGTCGACTTTGGGGTTGATGGTGTTTTAGGGGTGGCAGGTGAAGTAGAGTAAAGAAACTTCTTCCGTTCCTGCTCCTTAGCAAACAGCTGGAGTTGATTACTCACACCCACACACCTGTCGGGAAGCGAGCAGAACAGCATTTGGTACAATAGTATTTGATATGATGTAATGGTAAAAACAACAAAACATTTAAATTTGGTTCATAGATACACACTTGTGACTGATAAATTTTGTAGTCCTCTGCCGACCCTCATCCTCCATGAATCCCTGCAGGGTGAAAAATATCACAGATAGTGTTATACAGTGTAATACAACATGTGATATAATATACAATATATAACTACTACTTTGGTTGTTTGCATGTGGTGACTCATTTCTCTGGTTAATTTTGAGTCATCTGTGTTGTTGTATTGGGCCGTAATATAATCAAAGGTGTGTCCTATAATTTATATCTGCGAAGAAGCAAAACAATCAATACAATATAATACAATACAACATGGCGAATTACAAATTACATTACATTTTAATCAGCTCGCCATCATATCTGGCATACATCACACCATTTCATAGAGGAAGGGTTTTCTTTGTCGTGGTTGACCTCTGGTGGAGGTCGTGGGTGGGACGTCACAACATATCCGACAATTGAGAGTGTGTCCTGCAGGCATGATTTTATTCATGTTCTTACATCCCATTATGTAAGACATTTTTCCAAACTCTCTGACAGCATGTACACTATTCTAAAAGACTTCAAAATGTTACACTTCATTGAAGATTCAAGCAGTTTTTGAAAATAAGTAATACAAACAAATAATATATAAGGTTATAGAGCAAATGTATGTATGGGAAACATTGTATTAACAGACTAGGTCTTACCTTAATCACACCATAACTGTCCAGCCTTCGGCAGATCATACGAGATTCCAGTTTACCGACGTTCATCCTAAAGCCAATACGACTCTGAGGGATTCCCTTTGTTCCACAGGCTAGTACTGCATTACAAGAAAAAAGGCATCAGGAGGAATTATTAAAAGAGTTTAACACAATTTGGAGGTTAGATAATTACAGTGCAATCAATAACCTTTTGGACAATAGCATTTCTTTGCTGTGTTGTCTCTGTCCCCTTGAACATCGCATCTCTTTAAAAACAATGGATTTGAGGGGAAAGTGCTGACTTTTAGCATTGATTTGCCCAATCACTGTCTTACTCTAGTATGCACAATGTATAGTACTCCTTGTTAGACACAGAATACCTAACCTTCTGTTAAAGTGGTGGCTTCTCGTTAATTAAAACTTTATTCAGACATGACAGGACAGTTAAAGAGAAAGCTATAATGCTTTGTAAAAAAATAAAATATTAAGGAAGAAACGTTGTCAGTTGTTAACTTAAACTTATTTTTAAACTTATTGACCATCATTCTAAATATAACATTTACATAACAAAGTGCCTGTCTGAAAGGGGACTGAACACCAAAACAAGACGTGGAGAAAATGTGTCCACATGCTTCTGGACTGCCGTACCCTAAACTATCCTGATTAATCCATTTTATTTGCCAGAGGAGCGTAATCAAACCTACCAATGTGATATGCCTGTGTGAGGACATCTTTCTCCATGATTCGCCCCTCTGAAGGGAGAGCTCTTCGTCTCGCTCCAGTGTCATCTTCTTCCTCCTCGTCCTCATCATCGTCATCGTCGGTGACGCCCTTCCTCGTATACGGCTTTAACAGTTTCAAACAGCGCACAAGCACTTTATTCCCTGGAAAACAAAGTGAAACGATGCAGTGCATTTGTTTAGTCTGTGGCAAATACAAATCTGAATATAGTCACCACACAGTTATAATAAGCCTGTTATAGTTAAATGCACTTTTAGAAGTTTTTTGATTGCTTGGACTGTGAGATGCAGTTGAAAGTTCTGCAGAAAGTTAGTAAGTGGCCCTTGAAATAGTTTTATTTTGTCAAGCTACTATTTGCATGTCAAAGAATGAACTTACTCATCTTTTTACATTTTCTACATCAACACAACACATCACTACATTACTTTAAAATCTGTGACTTTATGAACTTTTCTCATCATATCTCATATTAAACTAAACCTATAAAAAAAAATACTTTATGTCGAACTGCACAGTGTTTAATTAGTGGGAATGGCGAGTCAGTAAAAATACATCAATGTGATTATTATATCGTTATGTCTGTGCAGCAAAGTAAAGCTCAAACTATTGATTGATTTATGATTGATTAATAGTTTAGTCAACCTATAGAAAAGTGATTTGCAGCAATTTTGATAACTTCTTATTCATTTAAATAATTTTCAGCCAACAATTCACAGCCTCAACTTCAGAAAAATTTTCTGCTTTCCTTTGTTTTAACAGTAAATTAAATATGGCTGTTGGTAGACTAAAACAAACCATCTGGGCTGGATTGGACAATTTTCTGACATTTTATAAAGAATCAAGAAAATAATCGTAGGAGTAATCAATATTGAAAAATAATTGTTGGTTGCAGCTCTACACACAACACAGTGAGACATGGAAGTAATCCATGTTTATGTCCCAGAGAGTGAATGATACCATGATAATAAGATAATGCTGGTGAGTTTCATAAATGACCCGTTATGTTTCGGGGATTTCATCAACTAAATATTAAGAAAGCAGTTTATAGTTTAAATATAATGTAGATTTTAAATAATTCAGTCATAGCTTAATTAATCAGTTTGAGATGAATCATTGAAGCTAAATATAACACATTAAAACATTTAAAGTAAAAACAGAACAGAAGCAGAAACTAAATGTGACCACACAATGAATGTATTGTCGTAAGTTTTTTGGTTTTGATTTTACTTCTGATATTGTGATGATGTACTCTGATCATACTGTACTGTTATTTAATTATATCAAATAAACTGGTGGGATGAGCACATATGTACTGGTGCTTCAGTGCCACGTTACCTTTTTTGTTGGTGCAGGGCCCGGCGCCGGGATCCAAGTCCTCCAGAGGGTACTGGCAAAACTCAACCAACTTGGCAGATCGCATGTAGTGAAAAACACGCTTGACGGTATTGTCATTCAAATTCTGCTGGAAAACACACAGTTGTTACCTCAAACGGAAAGACAAACGCACACAGACCAACAGACACTCACAAAGAGATACTTACAAGTTGTTCTCTGAGTGCCATCAAAGTGGCGATCTGACCAGGTGACTGCTGGAGAAGGTTGGACACGCACTCCATCAGTATGTCATATTTCGTCCTCCTGAAAGAGCAGAAGGAGTTAAGAGGAATTTCTGCAGGAGAGGGAGTGGCACTGACAGAGGAGACAGACTAGGAATGCTCCTAAATCTTAATACTGCATTTGTAAAAGCACAAACTGGGCTTGTTCCTTCTAAACATTTTCAGTATTGGTATTCAGTATTCTGCAGGACACAGAATGGTAAAATATGCAAGTGGCTGGTAGATTTGCTTCGTCTGTTGAGTAGCTAGTAAAACATTTGGCTGGTGAACAAAAAAGTGAATTATGCAAATACCTGAGTAGCACGTCTATTGGAGGAGGAACAGCACATTCAACTCAAATAGCACCC